GTGATAGAATCGCATCGTGGCCTGTGAATCGTGATTCGAATCGAATCGTGACGTCTTTGGCAATACCCACCCCTAATTTTCATCCATCAGCTAAAACACAAGAATTGGAAAATAAAGACAGTCATAAGGAAGCATGGTGCTGCGGGGTCGAGCGGCAGCAAGTTAGCGACTGAAATCCTTTCGATGAAACGCGTTCAGCTCAGAAGGCAGCGCTGCAGGAGAACCTCGTAGTTTTAGGATACGTAGTTACAGCAACCCAGAGTTAAAGTGTCGATATAAACATCATAACACAGCCGAGTGTTGACCTCTGAACCATCAAAGTGTTAATTCAGTTCACTGTTAAAATGACAAGGAATAAAAACATCTCTATACTTCCTTTAGGGTCTCATCTGCTCATCAGACTTTTTTTTTCTCAAGATAACATCAAAACAAAAAAGTTGCTGACAGAGGAGCAGCTTTAAATCAAACGGAAAAATTATTATTAGTAATTATCATTATCTGGATCAAAGCAGAAGAGCTTCATTTTTATTCAGCTTCTTACTTTAAATTTATCAAAATTGACTTGAATTCTGAACATACAGATAAAAAAACATGTTGATGACCTTATTTTTTTTAGGCATTTCACAAACGAGCAGAAAAGACGAGAGCTTTCAGTATTTGACCTGCTGGTAAACAGACATAGAAAGGCTGTTACCAACCTAACAAGCAAGGTCACCATTACCCAGCTGGTGTTACAGTAACTCTCTAAGGTGGTTTATGTCCTTTCTTCAGTCTACAAAATCCACTCATCATTGTTAGGATTTTAAAAAAGGCACTAGGGCTGAAACAATCAAATTAATCATGATTAACCGATTATTGAAATACTTGTCAACTAATTTAGTAATCGATTAATCATTAACTGGAGTGTAGAGACGCTAAAACATGCCTTTAGTTGACAGAGAACCCACTTATAGCAGGAATGATACCAAAACTGTCAAAATAAAATATGTAAATATTTTGCATTAAACATAAAAATCTTTTCCGTGAGTCAATCTGCTTTATCAGAACTCCTCAAGTGGAAAAGTTTTAGTTTCACCTGGTTTAATTTAGCAAAAAGTGCTCTTTAAGGAACCTTTTGCTATCTTATTACTAATCAAATAATTGAAAAAATAAAAAGATTTGCAAACTAATCGTTAGTTGCAGCCCTAAAAGGCACATAGATAAAAGTCACACCTTGGTATCCTACCATGAACCATTCACGCTGCTGAGTGGTGAGACCATTTCCATCTAAATGACATCTACAAAAAGGAGGGGGGGTTCTAATTACAGCAAGCCAGTGAACTGCATCAGTTTGCAGCTGGCTTGCTGCATGCAGTGCACCATCCTCATTATTTAATCAGACCCTGCATGGCCTGGCATGCAAAAGGGGGTCAGCAGTGTGATTACTGCCTCTCCATGCTGCAGTTTATTACATGGAGCAGCACTGAGACCCTCCACCCCCCCAGCTAGGGCTGCCTTTGAGGTGAACTGGCCTCATTAGTGCAATAGAGGATCCACCTGAGTGGCCTATCAATGATCTCACACAGCAGTGGGATGGAGACAGCTGGTTTGAAGGCTGCCCTCCATGCAGCTGCAGCAATCAGCCCTGCTGCAGGTCAGCTGCTGCACTGCATCTTCCAGGGGTCCCAATATGAACAGAAATGTGGAAGAACAGCTTCATCTGAACGTTTGGGTTTGTTCAAAAAAATCCAAAATAATAATAACTTTAGGAAAACTAAAGTAAATGAAACGCTGCAAGTTAGGAACCCAAAGTTAGTTGAGGACAGGCCTAGCAGAGGCAGCCAGCCTCCGGTGTGTCGGCATGAGGAGCAGGGGCCCTAATGGGGCCCCTCTACTCCGGTTCCCCCCCTCCCTCCTGCTCTGTCGACGCCATCTGTTTGTGTCAGAAGAGAATGTGAAGTATAAGGGAAAAAAAGCAAAGAAAAAGGCGACATTTTGCCTGTAGTTGCTGACCTACATCGCTGTTTGCGGCTCGCTGTGAAGAGAAAAGCCGCACCGAGAAGCCGAGCAGCCCGAAGCGCAAAAAGGAGAGAAATAAACTAATAAAAGGCTTAAATATTAAATGTCCGGTATGAATTCGCTAAGTTATGGTTGAAACCTTCCTGCTCCTCCGGCTGCTGCTGCCTCTCCGGCCCGGAGAACTGAACCCTATCGGCGGCTCTAATCCAGGCTGCCAGCCGCTCCTCCTCTCCGGAGCGCCTCCGCAACAAGCCGGGGGAAAAAAGGAGGCAAAACAGACTGACCTGGTTCCAAAAGCGGTTTATGGTGGCGGCGTGTCTGCGCTCAGCATCGAGATGGAGGCAAACATTGAGCTCCCCGCTGCTCAGCAGGAAGGAGGGAAGAAAAAAGGGGCTGACGCCAATGAATAAAGCAGCGAGCTCCTCCTCAGTCAGCGCCGCTAACAGCCTGATGTGGCTCTCTACCCGCAGCTCATTACATTAGATTTAATCATAAACAGTCAAACAAATGTTTACTTTCTCATCCCTGAAAGTCACAGCGTTTATAATGTGTGATTTTTAAATAAATCTACGAAATATGATCAATTACATTAAAATCATCGCCATGATACAATCTATACTTCGATTTCAGTTAATATATTTAAACATTTTTTTTACTTGTTCTGTTAGATGTATAACTCCTACAATACCATTATAATCCACCAGATGGCAGTATGCTTGCATACAGACAGTAAATGCATATGAGCAAAAGGCTGAATAAGTCAGCCTAAAAGTTATATAGAAATATATAAATTAAACTATGTCAAAAAGGTACATGATTTAAACATAATCAAAATTATCTCTTTACAAGTAGACAAGTTTAGTTTATTATTTAAATCAATTTATTTATATTCTCAACACGTCGTCTCAAGGCACTTTACAGTTCACCAGATCATCCAGTCAAATTGATTCAAAGTTTTCTATCTAAGGAAAACCAGTTGATTGCATTGACTCATTGACTCTTCACCAATCCCTCACAGTAAGCATGATTGTAGCGACAGTGGGGAGGAAAAACTCCCTTTAAACAGGAAGAAACCTCCAGCAGAACCAGGCTCAGTGTGAGCGGCATTCTGCTGAGGCCGACTGGGGTTCTAGGAGACAGAAGCAGAGAAACAAAAAAGCAACTGTAAAAGGCTATCCTACGAAACTAGCCCCACCCGCCAGCGGCCAAAATAATTTTTGCTTGCGAGTGATCTAGCCTCGATCAATGTCCCAGGCCCTAGAACTGGCGGGTCAATCACAACGCAGAGATGTGTTTTGAATTTCTGGATGCAAAGCAGGCGGGGATTTAAGGGCATGACAACAAAGTTGCGTGACGCTGGAAAAAGCACAACAAGGAAAATGGCAATAGGCACAGACATGGTTTGAATTAAATTACACATTTAATCTCACATTTAGTCTGGTTTATCAGGCTAGTAAAAGGCAGCGCCGTCCAGGAAACACACAGCTAGGCAGACGAGCTCCGGGCCAGCTCCCATGTCAGAGGATGAAGAGAGAACATCCAGTTAGTCACAGTCAGAGAAACAGGACTACACTGGAAAATAGGCAGATCTCGAACATCTATAAACAGAGGTGTTGATGGAAGCAGCACAGCTATTCACAGATATTCACAGATAGTCACAGCCAAACAGGAACACACCAGATAAGGCTACTATGGGAAGAAGCTATTGCTATTTTGCAGCAATTCTGTATAAGGCAGAGAGGTCGGAGGCTGTGTAAAGCAAAGCTTTGCTGTCCAAACCTTTTGCAATTTGGGCCAAAAGTGTCAGCTTTTGATTAAAACTGCAACAGTATTTTTTTTTTTCTTTCTTTTTTTGCTCAAAAATTAAGTAATCACATTTTATTAAAACAAGCAAAGCAATTGTAGGAACAAAAAGTAAAACCTTGATAAAAGGTCAAAAGGATGTGTTGAACTTTTTTTTTTTTTTTAAGAAGGTGTAAACCTTTTTGTATAATTTTCTAAAAGGAAAAACTGCAACGTTGAGTTATTGATAAGGTGGAGGTTCTGATTAGAACAAACACTTACAGAACCTTCTCTAAAAGAACAGGACATGGCGTATTTATGGTCAAAATAACGCAAGAAACCACTGGGAGGCAATGACAGCCAGTAGGCTGGGGGAGTGGATAATGACCTTGAATGGAGTTGAGTTTATCACGGGATCAGTAACAGCTGTTGAAGGAAGCAGACAGGCACACAGAGCGAAGGTGAATCTTTAAAAACAAAACTATAAACAAATTTTGTACTTTTCATGGTCAAAGTGATCAAAAAACCAAAAAACAAAAATCAAAATAGT